CTGGCCTTGAACTCACAGAGATCCGCCTGCCTCTGCGAGTGCTGGGATTAAAGGTGTGCAACACCACGCCTGGCTTTAATAAAGTAATTTTTAATGCAGTGGTCTGGGATAGAAGATAAATGAAGAGACAGAATCCTAACTTTGGAATGCTATAAAATACTGAAGATTACAAAGATGGAGATCCAGGAGAGCCAGTGAGGCTTGGTGTTTTCTGTGACCTCTCAGCCTTGACAGGAGAAAGGAAAGGCTGTAAGGAAGGCTGGGGGCTGGAGAGATGGCTCAGTGTGAGTGACGGCTGCTTTCCTGGAGAAACAGTTCAGTTCTCAGTACCATTGTCGAGCAGCTGGCAACCACCTGTAACTCCAGCTCCAGGGGAAATGACACCCTCTTCTGGCCTCCAGCCCCCCCCCCCAATAAAATAAATCATAAAAAAGAGAAAGCTTTGAAGACTAAACTAGATAAAGGATAGTGAGTAAGGATATTAGCACTGAAATGAATTCAAACTGTTAGGTTAGAGAAATTTCCTATGGCAATCTCTCTAGCTGGAGCTGAGGGATGAGGGTGATAAGCCCCCAGGAGGTTTATAAAGGACAAGTTTGAGATTCAGTAAGAACAGACAAATGTGGCCATTTAATTCAGGAGCAATTTTGGTAATATTGCTTATGCTGTTCTTATTAACAAAACAGATAATACAAAACCCTTTTTGGAGGTGGAGAGAAGAGTTGCTAGAGCTTGAACCCAGGGTCTCACACATGGGAAGCATGGACTATATCACTGCGTTACACTCCCAGCCCCTTGCCAAATGTTTTAAAGGGATCTTTCCCTTTGGGGACTCAGATTAGCTCAGTTAGTCTGCATGCTCTTCGCTTGGGGACAAGAGACTCAACTTTTGATACAAGTTCAAGTTTCTTATAAGATAGCTGATATTTTGGGAATTTTTACCAGAGTAAAGTCATGCTGATTATATCTATCATTGATTAACATCTTCAAAAAGGTTCTCAAAGTCTGATCCTCAAACTAGCTGTGCTGGATAGCTTTAGTGTCAACTTGACACGCCTGGGTTGAGGGAGCCTCAATTGGGGAATTTCCTTCATTGGACTGGCCTGTTGCCATGCCTGTGGGCCATCTTCTTGATTGTTGTGTGATATGGGAGGGCCCAGCCCACTGTGGGTGGTGCCACCCCTGGGCAGGTGGGCCTGTGTTGCATAAGAAAGCAGGCTGAGCAGGGGCCAGGGGAGCAAATCAGTAAGCAGTGTTCCTCCATGGCCTGTGCTCCAGCTCCTGCCCCCAGGTTCCTGCCCTGAGTTCCTACCTTGGGCTCCCTGATGAACTGTGACCTGGGAGATGTAAGCTGAATAAACCCTTTTCCTCCCCAAGTTGGTATTGGTCAGAGTGTTTTGTCACAGCATTGGAGAAACAAACCAGAACACTCGAATTTAGAAATGAACATTCTGAAGCCCCGATTCAGTCCTACAGAATCAGAAATGAGGGCGAAGTCCAAATCTGTGTTTTTATCAAGGCTGTGAGGTGATTCTGATCTGCTACACATTTTGCAAAGCACTGACAGAAGTGAGTCTACACAGGATAGCAGAGCCCTTGTAAGTTGTAGGTACAGTAAGAAAGTGTGAGGTTCTGAGTAAGAACAGTGCAAAGCCCAGCAGGCCAGGGAGCACTGGCTGCAGTGCCAGATTTCCACAGACAGGATGTTGCTTAAAGCTTGCTGTCCAGTGCTAAACCAGCAATGGGACCCCCCCCCCCCCCAGAAGAATAAAGGGAGGACACACTTCTGTCATGGTCTGTTTCACGTCGCGATGTCTTTCTTTCATTTGCCTTTGTCCATTTGAGAGGGCAGTTAGAACTGTTGGTCCTATTGAATCTAAGTAATGTGGGCAAAGTAACTTTAAATCTGCATAACTGCATTTTCAGTAATCAGTTGTTTATGCCAATTCACTCATAGCTTCTCATTTCAAAGATGGTGCTGACTTTTAAGAGTTATTAGACATGATTTACAAGTTAGCTATAAGTTCTCTTGAAAAAAAATTTCAGATAAGGCATTTATTTCCAGAATCTGTGATCATCCTAGCTGAACAGTGTGCTTTGACACCTTCAGACTTTTATTTTTACTTATTCTGAGGGGCTGGTAGAGGCAATGGATTCTCTCTGGCTGCCAGTATTGTCTACTCATAGTATTTGAAGAAATGTAAGATTGCTGTACAGGAGTTTGGGGGTAGGAGGGGTCCTGGATCATGTGAATCTCCTTCTGTTGAATATATTTGGTTAAAGTACTCTTTCTGGGGGAAAGTTAACCAAGCTGGATCTCATTTTGTAATCCCTTGACTGTTTTATTTATCTTAGAGGCAAAATTGTTCATAAGATCCTGGTATAGTTTGAATGTGAAATGTCCCCGAAAGGCTCATGTATTTGAATAGCTGCTTCCAAGCTGGGGGTGGTCTTGTTGCAAGACCTAGCTGAAAGAAGAGGGTCACTGGGGGATGGCCATGCCTTGAGGTCTCTTTGCCAGGCCTCACTTCATATTCTTTATCTCTTCTTTTTTAAAAGGTATTTTATTTATTATTTTTATTTTATATGTATGAGTGTATTGCCCACGTATATGTAAGTGCACCCATGTCCTGCAATGCCTGTGGAGGTCAGAAGAGGTTGTCACATCCTTTGGAACTGGAGTTATGGATGGTTGTTAGCCACTCTGTGGGAACTGAACCTGGGTCCTTTACAAGAGCAGCCAGTGCTCTTAACTGCTGAGCCATCTCTCCAGTCCCTCTGCTTCTTGATTACAGATACAATTTGACCAGTTGCTTCATGTCCCTAATTCCAAGCTTTCTTGGCCATGATGGGTTGTGTCTCTTTGAACTGTTGAGCCAAAATAAACCCTTCCTTCTTTAGGTTGCTTCTTGTCAGGCATTTGATCACAGTAAGAAGAAAAGGCCCCAAATACAGAAATTCAGGGTTGTTTCTACACCTGAGACATACTTCCCATTCAGTGCACAGTCATCAGTGACTTGTCTCTAACACACAGACTGAATACCCATGTACTTGGCATTAGGGCTGGAAACCTATAAAAGGAGTGAGAACGTTACAGGGCTCAGGGGCTCAGTACTTGGATCATCCTAGCTCATTTCCAGTGGGACTGACAGGTTTTAGTAGCAATGAAAGGTAGTGAATCGACCCGCCCAGAAAATGGAAGGGAGATCTAGAAGACTGTTTGGAGGATTAATACTCAAATGGGATAGTCTTTCTCTTCTGTCAGGCAGAGCCTGCCTAGGACCTGAACGAATGAAAAATCACGATGAAATAAATGATATTCTGTCCTTGCCTAGTAGGAAACACACTCCCTAATAAAACAGTACATCTGGGGTCTTTAGGTAGTATGCTTCTCTAAGCCTTCTAGAATGTTCCTTATTCAAAGATGCTGATAGTGGCAATTCAATTTATGAAAATAAGCCTTAGTCTAACACTTGGGAATTTTGGTTTCACCTTGATAATAAAAATAAGAATTTTGTTGGCCTAATCTCTATCCCATTTTCCGTGATTGATAAAAACCTGAAATGTAAGAAAAAAAAAAAAAACCAAACAAAACAAACAAGAAGCAAACTCTTTTTAATATCAACTTATTGTCAGAAGTGGTTTGCTCTATTTTGTTGTGAGTAAAGGGTTAGCCCTTCTCTTAGGCAGAGAATTATATTCAATTGCCTAATGTCAACTAGCCTAAAATTGGTGAATTGGCAAGTTTTTATTAAGTTTTAACAAATATCTGATTTAAATTGAAAGCTTTTTGTCTGTAAAGATTTAGCTTCTCAAATACATTTTCTACACTTAATATTTTTGTTATAATGAAAAATTAAAAAAAAAATCACATAGGAAATCAAACTCCCAAGATGAGAGAAGAGTCTGTATTATATTTGGACAGACCAGACGCACATGTTCAATAGCAGAATTAAAAATCCTAAAGCCTGCATGAATGATGGGACCACTATTCTAATTCAGTCAGCTGAAATAATTACACTGTCTCCTATCATTTACCAACTCTAGTCCATTTTCACATCTTTTTGAAATTCCTTTACATATAATATATAAATCAAACACAATTATGCACGATTCATAGCAACGTAGAATAAGAGTCCCTGTAGCATGGGTATGTATCAGTCTAACAAGCAACAGAAGAGTGTGAACTTCCTGCTTAGTCTGGATTGTATGATCTGCTGCATAATATGATGATAAATACCTATGAAGTTTAACGCCCGTGGAGAGCTTGTGGACAGATGCTTGATGGACTTTGGAATTCTTACACAGAAGCGCAGAGGAAGTTTCAGTGTCTGAATTTTCTTTGCATTACCTCAGCACATCTATAAATCACCGAGCCTGCATTCTGCTAGCATGCAGTTATCTTCATGAACATTCCTTGCCAAAAATCTACTAGCTGTTCGTTTAGGTGAATTATAGACTATTCTAGGACTGAAATTATTTGCTATCATTTGAAATAGTTCTTTCTTATACCATGAAGACAAATTTGAAGACAAACTTTATATAAATCATGTATATATTTATAAATATGATTTATTGTTATCAAATTCTGTTAATTTTACATTTTAATAAAAGCAGAGTGTAAATATTTTGAAGGAAAATAGAAAAGCAACCAAAATTTGTCCAATAAAATATTTGACTAGAGGCTATCGCCAATATTAACCAGAGGAGATGGATAATATTGTTAAGTAGAAATATTTAAAACTCCCATTTAATGTAGAAATAAGCCTTTCTTACTCTGTAGTTGAATTTTACGTTTGAATTTTAAGAGACTGATTTTTAATCAGCATCTGAAGTTTAAGTGTCCTTTTTATGTGCTACAAAATGCAGACTAATTATGGCTACTATGTGGATGTTTAAAAATTAGTTCAGGCATTTTACGGCTTGCTCATAAAGATCATACACTGTATCAGATAAGACCATGTTTCTGAAGTCAATCTGAAGACAGAATCCTTGCATACCTTCATGGGAGCCAGCTGAATGGGTGTGATGCATGATGGGTCCACCATGGGCTTAGGCCTGTTGGCTGTGTCTGCTAACAGGCTGTGCCACTGCTGGGGAAGGCCAGTAAATTTCTGTTCTTGTGGATCAAACCCAGTATGAACCCTGTGTTCAAAGTTGGATGGGCCAGATATTTCAATCTTTTTCTTTTTCTTCCCAAACATGATGTAAAAACCTGTGAAATGCAAACAGAAAATAGGTAGCTCATTATACTTTGTAATCAGAAGTAAAGTTTATTTTTGATTCATTTAGTTATATCTTTTTAGATGTCCCTACAGGTACTAGTTTCAAAAGATGAAAGTTGGATTTTCCAGGGCATACAGATTAGATAATTTCATTCTAAATCTTTATCCTTGCCTTGAGTCATCCTGTGGAATATAATTCCTTGCTACATTGATGCTAGATGTAGTCATGTGACTGTGACCTGCTTTGACCAATGGTCTTGGACAGTAAGGCAGCCTGGGATGGTGTTTGGAGGTGTTGTATGCTCCAGACCCTAATGGTCTTGGCAGTTGCCATGAAGATCTCTTAGGCAGATGATGCTTCCTCAGCTTCAGTGTTAGAAGAGATGTGTGAGGCCAATATAAGGCCAGTCTGGAGTCAAGGTTAGGCACACCCATTTAAGTCATTGCTAAGCCACAAAGCTGTACAGGTGTGTTACATGAAGGATAACAGTTTGGACTTGTTTGTTATGTGACATTGTGTAAGCAAAAGTTGACCAGTTACCAAGGAAAAGCATCCCAAAGTTTAATATGCATTTAAAATCCAAAACACATTTGTGACAAAATAAAGTATATGTCTACATGAAAAATGGGCTAAGCCAAGCAGTGCTTGCTTTTAGTTCCAGCACTTGGGAGGCAGTGGCAGGTGGATCTTTGTGAGTTCAAGGCCAGCCTGGCCTACATAAGTGAGTTCCAGGCCAGCTGGGGCTACAGGGAGACCCTGTCTGAAAAAGACAAAAAAAAAAAAGGCTAATAAAGACATTCACTATATGAATTAATTATTATAGAATGCAGCAAATAAATATTTATCAAATACTTTGAAAAAAATCTAGCCAAAGAAAGTTCTATGAACATTAACCATGTTAAGTGGTGTTAAGGAGCTTTATGGTATCCTGTGAGGTAACCTGGGTTTGAACACAGAGTAGGTCACCCATTGCCTGTGATCTCAGGATTGTAGGTATTTGTCTTTTCATGAATCTGCTCATTTATGAGTAGAACAAGCACGAGCATTTTAGGAATTCTTCTACACACTGCCATGGGATTGTTAAAATGGTCAGCTTTTTTCCCCCCTAAACATTTAGGTTGCTTTGTTGGGGAGCCTTGTCTCAGTGTTTAACCATTCTGACAGGACTGAAAATATTCTAAACAGAGACATTCATGACCTGAAAATCCCATTCTTGGAGAAAGAAAAGGCTGAAGCCTGGTGTTGGCCAGAGGGAATTTGGTTCCCTGAAAGAGACTTGGCAATTTGTCAGACATTTGCAAGAGAAACTGGATTAGGGCAGAGACAATGGTGATGGGCAGGATCACAGTTTGATCTGGACCACTTAGTTATACATATCTCTTGCCCTCTATTTAAACATAAATCCTATGTTAAAACTGAAAGACAGATTTGGGGACCACTGGACCTCTTTATTCTTCTTCTTAATATGGCCACATTGACTAAATAGACCTCTTCTGCTTTTTACTGTTGCTTGCTTGTTTAATTGGCTTATTGAGGATGAGAGGCCCAACCTGGCTTGCTGTTATAGGGCTCAGGCCCTGACCCAAATAATTCCAGTGACAACAGCATTGGAGGTCACAGTTCTGTGGATATTAATGTCTCTCACTCTCTCCTTTCACCCCCTTTTTCTCTTTATCATTCATTTAAACTTCTTTTTTATTTTATTTATTATTTTATTTTATGTGTATGCATGTATTGCCTGCATGTAGGTAAGTGCACCCGTGTTGTGCAATGCCTGTGGAGGTCAGAAGAGGCTGTTGGATCTCCTGGAACTGGAGTTACGGACAGTTGTTAGCTGACATGTGGGTGCTGGGATTCGAACCTGGGTCTTCTGAAAACAACCAGTGTTCTTAACTGCTGAGCCATCTCTCCAGCCCCTCATTTAAACGTCTGATCCTTCTTTTATCATTTATTGTTGCTCTGCAGGCGGGTCTTCCTGCTACCTTCCAGCTCTCTCAAATCTTATCTCATCTTCTGCTTATATAAATATTCTCTTATTTAATCCCTTTCATCTGTTATGGTTTGGATCTGAAATATCCCCAAAGACTCATGTGTTGAAGGCTTAGTTTCTAGATGGTTCTGCTCCTGAGAGATGATCGGATAATGCAGGGGGTGAAGGAATTTGGTTAGAAGCAGGTCTTCATAGAGCATACCTTGACCCCAGTCCTGGCTCTTTCTTTTTCTCTTTGCTTTCTGGCCCACATAAAGGTAGTAGCATTGCTCTACCATGTGCTCTCTGCCATGATGTTTCACCTCAACTCAGGCCCAGCATAATGGGACTTAGTAACCATGGACAAAATCTTCTGAACCTATGAGCCTGAACCTTTCTTCCTTCAAAGGGATTTTCTCTGGCATTTTGTCACAGGGACAGAAATTTGATGAATACAGGAAAATCCTTACTGTTCATTATGGTTTTTACTTCGGACTAATCTGGACACTATTGTCTGGCCTTGCAATTGTAATTAAAAATAAATAATTTAGATGGGTGTGGTGGCTCATGCCTATAATCCCAGCACTGGGAAGGCTGAGATAGAAATGCCACAAATTTGAGGGTAGTCTGAGCTACACAATGAGTTCCAGTTCATTCTGAGCTATAGCGTGAGACCATTTCTCAAAAAACAAAACAACAAAAAGAAATTCTTTAAGTGCTTTACCAATAAGTAGATTAATATGTACAGGTTAGATGATCTTAAAACTTGGGCTCACTGAATTCAAAGTGTAAGGGAGTGATGGAAGGGAGTGTCCCACAGAGTCCACAGCCTCTCTCACACTGACTCTAGACTTGGGTATGAGATTTCTGTGGCCACTGGGACAAAAGAAAATACAACACATGTGTGCAGTGTGCGGACACTCTTGCTGCTCTTAGAACCTGATGTCCACATAAGAAAAGGACCTTGTAGCACATGGTCGTTTGTCACCCCAGCCAACCTCAGCCCACCCCTAGCTCACCTGCATCTCTTTACATGAGCCAGCCCACCAGCAGAAAAATTAACCCCATTGATCTGCACCTTTAGATTCTATTAAATCAGGATACAAATACTTTAGACCATTATTTTTTTGAAGAAGACTATTACATAGAAAAAGCTAATAGGAAACCCTGGACTATCGTTTCCTGCCTTACATCTTCACGTACTCATCAGTTTTTCCCTTACGTTTTTTGCTGCTCCAAAGTTTCAAGTGACAATGTCCAATGTGGGTAGCTATATCAGTTATCACACAAGTGCCTTAACTCCAAAGAGTCTTGACTGTAACACTACTACTTGGGCAGTTGATGGCCTGGAACATTTTCAGTTGCAGAAAGTTGCACCAAATGAGCGGCTTTATATACCACCTTTTGGCTTTATTTACTGAACATCAAACATCCAAAAATATAATTTGTTCATTCATTGACTAAGTCAACTTGACATTTAAAAAAAAAAAACTTTAGCTATCATCATTTTAAAAAGAAAGAAAAGGCCATTTGAAGAGGATCCCTTTGCATGCATTCATACCTGAACAAGCAGTAGAAATGCTAGACCAAATATTTTTAGAACAAGAATAGAAATTTTTGCTATTTCTTTCTTGATTGTGAATTTCCCAGTGGGTGCTGTGCCAGTCAAGTGAAATAATAATAAAGAAAATATCAATGAACTGACACTGCTCCTGGGAATTGCGGGGAGCAAACTTCTGGTTGATTTAATCTACCTATTCAGTATCCCGGGATACTGGTTAGTATAATTTAAAGGTAATACTCACAGATCCTGCAATGACAAATAAGCTGGAGTTAAGGAGAAAGCAGCTGGGCATGATGGTACATGCCTGCAATCTGAGGAGCTGGGAGGCAGATGCTGAAGGCTTGTCAGAGGTTTGAGGCCAGATGTGCTACATGGTGAGATCCTGATTCAAATGAAGCAAAAAGAAAAAACAAATCCAAAAGCCCAATCAACAAACAAGCAAACAAAAAACAAAAACAAACCATCAAAAATAAGAGTCACAGAAGACACAACTTAAAAGGAAATTCTTTAAAAAATTAGTCCTAAATCCTAATGCAATATCTTTTTGAAGCTCACATTCATTTGTCTGAATCAGAGAGAATCAGAGCTATCTCCAAGACAATATTCCATCAGCAGGCGCCATTCACCCAGGTGGAAAATGGAGACAGGGACCTGTGTCTTTGAGCACCAGGCAACAGAGGGACAGCTAGTCAGGAAATGAGAATATGCTTGGTAGGTATATTGCTACTTTGTTGCTGTGACATATGTCTGGACAGAATGACTTAAGTTGGAAGGGCTTATTTTGGCTTAGGGTTTCTGTGGAGACAGGCTTGAGCCTAGGGTGAAAGTCTTATTGACAGCCATACAGCAGGCCCGAGGCAACTGCCTGACTGCTGGAGCCACAAGGAACGCCTATGACATTTGCTCCCATTGGCAGATCATGAGACTGATGCCTAGAGCTAGCCACTCCCTAATCACCATCCTTGGAATCCAAAATTGCAACACTTAGATATTGCAACAGTCAGGGTCACATGGTTTCCAGGAATCCAGGCTCTGTAATCTGATACCCATTATGCTAATGAGGCATTCTACCCACTATTCTGTGAAAGGATGTTAAGTCTGTTATGCTAATAGGATGCTAAGTCTGTTACGCTAATAAGGTATCCTACTTGCTGTACTGTGATAGGACGCTAAACCTGTTATGCTAATGAGGTATCTACTTGCTGTGCTGTGATTGGACCACTATCCCTATATAAGCTTGTGCCTTCCTGCAATAAAGGAGACCTGTGTCACTGAACCTGGTCTCCTGTGTCTGAATGTGGCTCTGCTGACACAGTCTCCTCACCAGCCCTGGGGTCTGGGACCGGGCAGAAGCAGCGACGACAGGAGGCAGCACTGGGCGAGCAGAAGAGCGGCCTCGACGCCTGTGAGAATGAAGGAGAGGCATCCACAAGAACAGAGGAGCAGCCACTGCACC